AATGCAGGAATAAGCCTTGTCCAAGAATGTAAGCACCAAGCAAGGATTGAACCCAAGAAGTATCCATGTTAGTGCACTCTTCAACCCTGTTGGGTTTGGAAGCAATATTTGACAATTTTATCAGTTGTTTTCAGGGAAAAGAATAGAAAAAGATGAATCACAGACAAGATGACTGGGAAGTTTGAAGAAAAAAAGATAAAACCTGTACTTTGAATAACTTTTTAAAATGGCTATATATATATATGCGTAGACTATCTGGAAAATGTTTAAGTGCATAATGATGGTGGCGTCCAATTTCCAAATTCATGATATAATGAATTAGGGGAATCAAAAGAGCCTTTGTATATCTACAAATTCACTAGCAAAATAAATAGCAGGGCATCTTGTGTATATTTAAAAATGCACTCAAAAAATGTCTTGCAATTTAACAACAAATTTCATTATAAAACTTTACTTTTTTTATATCTACTTGTACTCAGCACCCAAGATGAATTTCTACTACATAAAACTACACAGAATTAACTTCTTTCGTCAGTCATTTCACAATTTAGTCATTAAAGCATTAGCGATAAACTCAATGACAACGACCAGACAGGAGAGGAAAGACCGCAGTTCATGTCTGAATCGCAACAACTGGTTGGAATGTCATCAACTTCCAGCCGTTGGTCAATCTGATCAGAACCATCAAATTTCCTGTGGGAAAAGTCTCTAATTTGTCCGATGGGAAGACCGAAGGACAGGACTAATGGATGAAACCCTGTGAAACCATGACAAGTTGCCTGACATGGGTAAGAGGAAAGCGCATCGATTCCCGCCGTTGGATGGCTACAGTTTCAGGTTAGGTGATACAAACAGGAAATTGGGTGACGTCAAGAGAATCTGACCTTTGGGGTTTTCTCTTCCCCCTGGATCTTCTCCCCCCTTTATTTTATGGTGGAATGGAGAGAGGGGGCAAGAAGGACGGGTGTCTACATGTTTTGTATGTGATTCTGCCCTTCTGTGTCTCTACAGTTACTTAGAAATTTAATATTTTGTGCTGATTTGCCTATTACAGCAGCTAAGTAGAATACTTAGTCCTTTTTCTGTAAAGAGGAGACAACATAAAAAGGATGTAAATAAGCCCTCCATGAGAACTTACATTTTGTAGGTACACGTATAGTAGGGATAGATGGCTGATATGCGCTTTACATGTATGAGGGCTTAGGTCCTTCTTGAACTAAATTGACAGCTAATCAATTCATATTCTCCTGTTACTTGCTCATCTGTGCAGCTCTGCCGAAATTCATGCGATTCATTTTTACTTTGTGAAACACATAAAGGGATAGGAGGTACATACAATACAGTGGACTTAACCGTTGACTGAAGTCCTTCTGATACTGAGATGAAAAGTGAATGTTCACAAGCTGAGAAGCCTTGCTTCCCTAGGACCTCTGCAAGAACTTGATGGCTGACAGAGCCAGGAAAGATCAGTTTACCTTACATCAGACTATAATCCTTTCCTATGTGAATCTCCAGAGAGCATGGACTACAAACCATACCAGGGGATTGTCTCACAAAGACTAAGGTTAACTTTAATTTGAACTTAACTATGGCAGGCTGTCCATGCCACTGTTTGCTCTCACCATTATAATCTTTAGATTATATTTGTTCCTTCAATAATGAATCATAAAAAATATTAATTCTCTAGATTTATGACCATGATTTGTATGTCCCTTGAAAGACCAATGCCAGTAAATGATGAGAGCAAACAGTAGCATGAACGGCCTACCATAGTTAAGTCCAAATAAAAGTCGATCTTAGTCTTTCATTGGCTAAGCAATATGTGCTCCTATGATGAATGCTCCATGGTTGAATTCTAACCATAATGATTTAAAATCAATTTCCAAACTGCAACCCTTGACTCAACACTTCACCTATCTCTAACCTTCAGACCACCCCCCCCCCCCAAAAAAAAGAGGAACAAAACACAATGGCGACCCTGGCCCCAACCCTTCAATCTGTGCAAAGTCAAGGCCTAAGCCACTGACACTTCTTGAATCACAAGTTCATGTACATTCCTATCAAGCTCATCATTAAATTAAAAAATCTTTCCTGAGATAAGTTGATTCAATCTGCTAATCTAATTGGGAAAAATAATACAGAAAAAAAATTCATCAAAGAGACAACAAATGGCTCTTCAATCTCTTTCACTTCTATTTCATGATAGGGAGGAGTGTATTAAAAAAATACTCAATGTTTACACCAAATATATCCTACAGTGTTCACCTAATATTCATAAAATTCAAAGATACTTGTATCAGAAAGATATCCACAATCAAAACTTACAAATGAGTGTTTGCGGTTAAATAAACACAACCAGAACCTCCAATAACAGTCATTAATCCACAGGAGAAGCACTCGGTGACTGCCGAATATTACAACTTTGCTCAAGATCAAATTCTAGATCTTCCGAAAGTTCATTCAAGATATTGATCACAGTGAAACTGGAAATATCAGACTGTCTCCTTGCATAAAAAAATTAATCTTGAAGATCATCAGAATAACAAAAATACAAATGCTGTAATCGCTTTCCTATCAACCTGGTTATTTCCAAACAAATCCTCAACGTCCGACACTCTCTTCCTATAGGTAGGGAGTGGGAGAGAAAAAGGAGGAGGACATATATATGACAGCTACAGAAAGAAATTGCAAATCGTTTGAAGGACTAAAGATTATTATGACTGACTAAGACTAAACATTGGCCTGGGAATACTTGTGTACAAAGCCAATGGCAATAAATGAGAAATTGTACTAGAATTGCCTCTCATGACAACATGTGACATTGTAAAAATAGATACAAAAATCAACTTACACGCAATATTCCTTATCATTATTATTATTGTATATAATATACTTCACCAGGATATATATTCCTTGAGTTTTTGTTTTCATTAGTCTCATATGTGACATATCCATGACACAAGAACTATGAAGTATCTCTATACACCAATATAGCAATTACATGCTATTTTGTCTGTAAACACATCTAAGATTTAAGTACATTATATCCAAATCATTGCATTAAGTTAAGCCCTATTACTGCTTATATCAGACCAAAAATGAAGAGAAATGACACATATGATGTCAATTAATGTCCACATCTCTATTCTTGGTAGGACGAACTACCTTAGACTTACCCAAACTAGATCTACACATATCCATTAAATTACTTGAATATTTATACAGCTTTCAAGACTTAGCATTTTTGTTCTTTCTTGCAATTCAACAGGCAAATGGATCCAATATTGAGAAAAAATATCTTCTATGATGACCCCCCAAAATTTTAAAATTGAAAGAGAAATTTTCATGAACAAGAAAAAGTAAATCAAATCGTCTCTACTACTGTAAGATACGTGAAACTATCCTGTTGTTTACTTAAAGTTGTTACTTAAAATACAGAAGAAGAGTACGCATTTTGTAGGCTGCACCCCTGTAATGGCTCCTTCCCAAAGACTTTAGGAGCGGAATTGAAATGTGCATTGACATTTGGGAGAGGAATAGTGAAGGTTTCTGATGAATGCTCTAAATCTTATCCTGAACAAATCTACAAGGAAATTAGTCTCGGAGTAATGACTTTTCCCAAACTAAGATGAGGAAATGAGATACTCGCTATGCTTTCCTATTGGATAAGCTTACAAGAGAACATGACATAGCGACACCCACCCACCCATACCAAAACATTTGGGGCATTCAATCCAAATATTATATCCATAGAAACAAAAACAAACAAGACACTGTTTTGGACCCTCCCCTATTAAAGGTGCTTTCTACCTTTTACCAATATATCTCACATAAGTTATGATGATAACCATGATTTTAGCATGGTGGCACTGTAGTGCAATCATAAATTTTACTATTCTTATTGAAACTCAAAATAATTATTTCCCTTGTACTACATATATTTTTACCAATCTTAAAGATTCGAAGGATATTTTGCAGACACTTTAAAACAGATTGATAAATAATTCTGATACTTTCAATTCTATGTCAGAATGTTAATACTACCTTGTAGTATCATTACTTCCCTGGATTAATTCTGCAACCCCCCTCCCCTTCTCTGTCATGGAATATTATTTCATCTGTTCGACTCTCAATCAAGAGGTTGAGGGTTTGAATCTCACCTAAGCACTAACGTCCTTTGGTAAGGCAGTGCTACACATGTGGTTGCTAAGCTATGGCGAGGATATAATGTTGGAGTGCCAAGAAGCATTATAGTGTGACGGACACGAGTACTATACAAGATGCCATTATAATACTGTTCAAGATAAGGCACCATCTGCACTTTGTCAAGAAAAAGTCCATTTCAAAAAGGATGTTCAGGAACCTTTTATGACCGATTATAGGACATTGTAATAAATCACAGATTTCAATGACAGGAATCACGGGCTCCACTTCACATCTGATCGGGACATTCTATGATCATTATCAATTCTTTCCACACAGAAAATCATTACTACGGCTTTGCAAATCTTAAGATGGTGTTGAAGAGAATCGTAATTGCATGGTTGCAGGAAATTGCATTCAACTGAATGTTTGAAGCATGCAGGGTCATGTTGGGGGAAAACAGTACTTGTGAATAATACCAATAAGCCAATTATTCTGCCTTGGACAATGTTGCAAATTGAATCCTGTACGATAGTAACTCGTTCCAAAGAAATAATGCCTTAAAGGGCATTTATTTTTTATATGTTGTGTTTAATCGCAAATTTTTAGACCACAGGGTCTAGAGGATAGAGCATGGTAGAAGTTCTCTTAAAGCCCCACTGCACTACTTGTAGCTACTTGCGCCCTCTATATATATATATGCATAATCTGTGACAATTGGTCCCCCATGATCCTCTTTTTATTATGTTAATTGAGAGCTGAGTTGATGAGATAACCACCTGTCCAGTGACCTTGCAGGGTGGTCTAATCCCTCCTGTAAACTAGTACAGATGTGCGTTAAAAGAAATAAGGTATACCTTTGCTTCAAGAATGGGATCCACAGCCTTGTAGGTTGGGTCTTCATCTTCTGAATCCGAGTTGCCAGCGTTAGCGTCCAGGTGCTCGAAGCCGGTGTCCAGGACATTGATACCTAGGGTCAGCGCCTTGATGACCCGCGGGATGACCTCTGCTTCTCTCTGCTCTCTAGTCTTCGTCGCCTGATTCATTAAAATGAAAATAACAACAGTCAAAGCACAAATCATTTTTTTTTTCTTCAAAACAGATGGTCCATAGGGTTAATCTCAAATCTGATTAATGGATCTAATCCCTGTCATTTCTCCTAAATGTTAATGATTGGTCAACCTGATTAGTGGTTTTAAGGATAGGAAATAATAAATTCATACTATGTTATTCCTTAGACCAGAATGAAACAGAAAGGAATGGATACTGGATGGAGGAGAAAGGAAGTGATATAGACAGACAGTGAATAATACAGAGAATCTAAGAATAAGACAGAAACCGGTAGAGAGATGGAGAAAACGGGGGTTGCAAAGTGAAAGGGAAAGAGACAGAAAAGAAAAGAGAAATGAAGAGAGAGAGACAGAGAGACACAGAGAGAGACAGAGAGACACAGAGAGAGATAAAGAGAGCGAGAGAGAGAGAGAGAGAGAGAGAGAGAGAGAGAGAGAGGCTAAATAGAAAGAGGGAGATAAAGAGGGAGAAATAAACAAGACAAAAATGAAAGAGGATGAGAAAAGTCAGGTGAAATGAAAATCACTACATTAAGCAGAAGACAAACTAAAAGTTAAGATGACGAACGAGCCAAATTTGGGGAGAACTTCGGAGACTGACATTTGACTCAATTACTGCAGATAACTCCTGCACTTTAGGTTGAACCTTAATGAGCAGTAATGATGGGAAATTGTGTTGAATTGAAACCTTTCATCATGAGACCTTATGACATTTCCTCCAAAGACGAAAGGAAATGGAGAAATATGTCATGATAATCTTATTGATTCATTCCTCCTCCATGAGGGGGTGGATATAAAGACAGAAGTGCCACGTGAAAGAGCCCGTTTCATATATTACGAAGACAACCAAAAGGAAGGTAGCAAGATAATTTTAAAGAATGAAGGGGAAAATGGAGAGAGAGATATACCTGTACATATCTTGATGAGAATAGTAACTTTTTCATTGCTTAATGTGCCCCCAATTCAAATGTTGTATCCAACATTTTGTGGATTAAGAAAGGCTTGTTTTTCTACTTGAAACTAAAACAAATGAATCAAATCTGAAGTCTGATCCATTGAAACATATAACACTGTATCAATTATATTTCAAATCTTGTCCCATTTTCTATGTTTGTAAACTCAAATGTCAAATAAGTTACATAATATGTATTAAATCAACCTGTTTATTTTTATTTTTTTCTTCAGATTTTGTGGGGGGGGGGGCACAGGGGCAAAATCATTTGCTAGGGGCAGGGTAAGGGGTTTAACACTAGCAAATTGTCACAATACTTACCTGTTCTTTCTTATCTTTCTCAGATTGGGAGCCTCCATCAACATCCTCTGAATCATCATATACTCGCTGAAAGACAATGATATTGAGAAAGAATACAATATGAAATAAATTTGGTTACATATGTCTAGGTCAATCTACATGCAGAAATGTAATTCATAATAATCATCATATACTCTCTGAAAGACAATGATATTGAGATAATAAACCGTATGAAATAAATCTGGTTACACATGTCTAGGTCAATCTACATATAGAAATGTAATTCTAATTGGAAGAAGCAGAACAAAAAGTTGAAGTATTTACATATTAGGAAATGGGAAAGTATTAGAGATGGAGGAAGGGAGAGAGAGAGTAGACAGAGGAGAGAGAGAGGGAGGGATTGGGAGAGAGTGAGAGACAAAGCAATAGAGAGTGAGGCAGTGTGTGTGAGAGAGACAGAGAGAGAGAGAGAGAGAGAGAGAGAGAGAGAGAGAGAGAGAGAGAGAGAGAGAGAGAGAGAGAGAGATACCGAGATGGAAAGAGCAAGGGAAAGACAAAAGGAAGGGAAAGAGAATACAAGAGAGAAAGAGAAAGGGAGAGGGAAAGAGAAAGGGAGCAAGAATTAAAGACAGCAAGAGAAAGGGGGCTTGAGAAAGAGAGGAGACAGAGAAATACATGTACACATTAGACTAAGAACAGTGGACTGAGAGAGACACAAACTGGAACAACAAATACAAGAGAGACAAAATCAGTGATAACAGTAGCATGAAAACCAGACATCCAGATAGAGAGAAAGAAAAACAAAGAACACGAGAGAGAGACAGAGAGAGAGAGAGAGAGAGAGAGAGAGAGAGAGAGAGAGAGAGAGAGAGAGAGAGAGAGAGAGAGAGAGAGAGAGAGAAGAGAGAGAAACTACAGATCAAAAGATGACAGCCAGACAGAATAAAATGGTGGGTGGAAGAGAAGAGAGATTCAATGTATCAAGCATCTAACATGACGCACAGGTAAAGCACCCTGGTTACACGTCAAGCGTGACAGGTGTATCATTGTTGACAGTAGTCTACGTTGTTATCTTCAAAACCTCATGTCTGTCAGCAACAACATTACTCAACAACATGTAGAACAATGCAAAGTCAAAATCAAGATAGGCGTCAAGCCTGTTATTTGAGAAGAAAATAATGCTTTTATGATCTATCTGCACATCACATGAAAGGTTTGCATCTAGGGTGACAACTGGTAATGTCTGTAATATTGCCCTTGCATTTTCGATGGTTGAACATTGAAAAATCACACCAATTTCATTTTTAGTTGCAGGTGGAGATGCAGAATTTAAGCTACACATACACTCATCAATGGACATCTGTCTGAACACCCTTATAAACTTGCTTTGTATAATAAGAAACCCATTATTTAAATGATTTCTTAGGGCCTCTCGCATGAATTAAATAAAACTCCAAAATAAAGGAACTACTTGAACTTTCAACCAATCAGAATCAAGTATTTTAGACTTGCATTTTTGGTTGAGATGCAGAACTTATCAATGGACATCTGCCTAGACACCCTAATAAACTTGCTTTAATGATAAGAAACCCATTATTTAAATCATCTCATCTCCATATTGAGTACATTCAAGACTTGCAAATTGTAAGCAATACAAGTCCTGTAAAACTTTCAAGTGTAGCTTGTAAGTTTAATAGTCTGAAGTAAATGACTCTAAAATTTGACATGTCTAAGGCCTAGTACAGTACATACATGTACCCAAAGCTTTGACGTAAAAAGAAACATAATTCCTTTGGTTATCCACACTGTGATAATAAGTACAAGTAAATCCACTTGGTATATCATCCTTAATGTGGACTCCTCTGTAGGTTTGCAAAGTAATTCTTTCAGCTGATGTCAGTCACATTCCATGAATAATTTCAAAGTATTGAATCTATTATTTGCGAAGGTATTCGACGGTTACCATCGTAACAGAAAAAATATGTGTTAGATGATGATATTCACATATTCACAGTAAAACAAAGTTAAGGTTATGTCCGATTTTAATTCCTATTCTGGCTAACAAGAAACAAACTGCTGGTAAACCATTACAATCCATGCCTACAAGTATGTACTGGACATGCACATACTCAACGAAAAACACCTGTGAATATTCCACAATTAGTCGCTAATTCTTCTATACATGTATACATGAATCCCCATAATACACTGTATGCTGGCTCACTGAGTGTCCATATAACAGATACATACATGAATGTTAGAATGTTAGAATTGTAATTGTGGAGTGAATTAATGCGATTAATCCATCTGTCTGTAGAGGACATCAGACAAATTTCTTGTTAGTGACCATAAAGGGGAAGGGGGCAGTATACTTGAAGACGCCTCCCCATGGCCACTCCCAAAGTGACATGGCGCGCTGTAAGGGGTTTAACAGTGATGACCTGTCCCCATAAATGAGTGACTGCCCTTGAATGCAAAAGTTTAATTAACTCATCAAGTATTCTGATCCCACATTAATGAGACTATGTACATTAATCAATACGGAATAGAATGTGACTCATAGGACTACAGCAGAATTTTTCAGGACATGTCTGAGCTACGGTACATGAGTGTGGAACATTTGAAGTTCATGCTGTATGAAATGAAAGCTAATTGCTAGTCACTGATTACAAGAAGGATAATCCTGTTGATGTTAATAATGGCAACTCATACATGTTTACTGCAGAGAATACAAGGTACATTTACCTAAACATGCATATTTTCATTCTAAAAGCATTGGTGTCAGTTTAGTCCTAACTATTTTACATTTAATGGGCCATTTGCAAATAATAATAATAATAATAATAACAACATTTATAATGCGCACATATCCATCCCAAGAGATGCTTAAGGCGCCTAACAAGGTAAGTACATTGAACGAAAATAATTTAACATAATTAAATATAATTCAACAACGTTATAACATCAGATTGTGAAATACACTACGTCTTAACTAAGAAATTCAGACATTAGATATTAGAAATACCTGTGCATGTAAACGTCAAGTATGTCACAGACCACAGTGTACACTGTCCATATCAATATCTGTGTATGTACATTTAAATGTAAATGTAGTGTGTAACATAGACCACTACAGCTACTTTCACATATACACATATTTCGAAGACGTTACCTGTTCACATATAGGTATAATTTTTTTCTTTCCTGACAAAAAATGTATTTCATTAAATAATATTCCAGCAATTTTTGGGGGGAGAGTAAAAGAATCAATTCAAAAGATTGATGTTGCAACTAAAATGACAGACCGTCTATTTCTTTTCCCATCACTCCCTCTTCTGATCTAAACAATAAGAGCATTCTATGGAAAGGGGTAACATTGGGGCCTCATCCTGAACCGCCTATACTTCTTGCTTCCAGAACATCCCCCTTTATGTTGTGTTTACATTGTGCCCAGGGTACTTCATTTTCAATCTCTGTCAGAGCTGTATCCATGCTCCACGTTCACAATGATGTTGACAGGAAAACTTTTCAAGTGCAAATCAAATTTAAAGGATTGGCATGATCCTAGCACCCCCAGTATCCGTTGCTTCCACAACATCCCCCATCAAGCTGTATTTGGTAATGTTGATATTGGGAGTATTTCAATATGGATGCCCTTCTCTTTTACTCCCCAAATTGCCCACATCCACCCACCATTATCTACTCCAGCATGAGTAAGATGTCTTGCGCCATCTTGCATGTGTTTACCATCAAGATTCTCCAGTCTGTATCCAAACAGCATGTTATTCTGATAAGTTTTTGCATATCTGCCTATAGCATGCAAACTATATAATGCAGTCAACCTGGTTTAGCAACCACCTGTCTACAAAAACTACATTTTTGGTTACCCTTGAAAACGGTTTCTCATTGAAACATGTACTAAAGGAACTTGTACTTAAAGACCACCAGTCTGTAAAGACCCCTTTTCTTGTCTCCCTTGGGTGGTCTTTATAGACAGGTTTCACTGTATTACATCATCCTCTAGTAAATAGCAAGTCTACTTCAATGGACAGGGCATTCTTTATGTGGAACTTCTTTTTACTTTCTGGAATTCTTGCCTTACCTTTCAGTGAGCCCTACATGTACACCCTGCAACTGCCTGGTAACTGCCACAAGACATGACCTTACATAGCCCTCATGGCTAAGCTCTATGCGACAGTACGTGTGAATGCACCATAAACACAAGGAGAAGAGGCTAACACGTTACAGACTTTTTCAACGATTCTGCCACGGTATCAACCTCTGATGGGCATATCGACACTAACAGGCACCCAGTGCCTATGGGTGACCAAAACCATGTCTGCACCCCACAAATTTCAAGATTTTTACAAAGGACTCTTGCATACATGCTCTAAAAATATTTCAGTCTGGACCTTCATAGTGAGGAGCCATTTAGCACACACTGAAGGCTACAACCATGGTTTTGACCTTTATGAATCTAGGCCTACAAGGAGAGAAGGGCTTACTATACGTACGTTTTCAATGAACTGTGTATTGGCAAGCATGAGGAAGTCATTGAAGGTGTTGTGAACCCTAGAGTCTGCACTCTTGGCGTCGTGGACGAGGCTGTCCATCCTCTTCTCCAGGTCACTCGTCTTGGACATCATCTTCTGAGAGAATTCCTGCAGGTACAGGAGAAGCTGGAGGGTTGAAGAGAGAGAGAGGGAGAGAGAGAGAGAGTGATGAATGAAGGTGTAAAAGGTGTAAATTGGGTATATGGAAAAAAGGATTATTATTGACAATGCTTGTTTGGAGTCTTTAGAGCCCAAAAATTTGATGGCAATATTTCACTTGAATTGTATTGAGGAGGCGAGTTGGCTCAGTCGGTAAAGCGTCCGTCTGTCGAACCAAAGATCCCGGGTTCGACTCCCACCCAGGCGGATGACTGAAGCCTGCGTTGTGTGTTAACGTGCCCCTTCCCTTGTTCATAGACGCAGGTTATGTCAAGTGGAAAACACTCCGTCCCTCGGATAGGACGTTAAATGGAGGCCCCGTGTAGAGAAGAGTCACTACCTTTGCACGTTAAGAACCCACTACACTATTCGTAAAAGAGTAGGGGAAAACCCCGGTGTAGTGGTCCACCTGCACCCCCCAGTACAAGTTAGCAATATGCGGAATACCGCCCTGCTGACTCCAAATTCAGAAGGTTCAGAAGGTATCATAATGTGAAAGAGGATGTCATTTAAGATACATTTCTGCAAGGATTTTCAAAAAAAAATGTGTTTGAAGTTGAATAATGATGAAAGAATACAAAATTTATATTTTCTGTTATACACAGAAAACCTAAATTATAAATCACCCATTTATCAATATTTGTCTTCAAACACACCTTTTTTTTGGGGGGGGATCTTCGCAGAAGTGTGTCTTAAATGACATCCCCTTCACATTATGATACAATTTACGATCAAATTGTTATAAATTTGGGGCAAATTTAGGGCTCCTAACACTTTAGAGGGGCTTTAAGAAAACTTTTCCAACTGAGGGACCAAGTGTTCTGACATGACTTACTCAACATGAAGTACAAGGAGTAGACCTACTTATAAATTATATATTAATAAAAACAAAACACATGCATTTTGCAAAGATTTTGCATGACCCTAAATTATTGATAGCCATCACATTAAACTACTAATATCTAGCGAAAGGTACAGTATGTAATCTCACTTAAACTTTTTTTTTTCAAAGGCAAGATTTAAATACACTTGAGAACTATTTCTTGTTCATATGAGCAACTGAATATTATGGATCTGTAGGGTAGTATTTTTCATGTTCACTGATATCTTTTTATAATCTAAACTATATGCAAGGCACAGGAGAGCTGCACATGTTTGTTTACGACATCATAATTTGACATCAAAAGATAGTGGGTTTAATTCCAAAGCCAGGGGTGTTTTGGGAAGGGCTTTCACGTTAGTCTAACCGAGGTCAATGATTTGATCACTACATCTACGCACAATCCATTCTCAAATCAGTTGGACCTCAAGGCTCAAACAGATCCTATCAAACGGATTCTGGCAAAGCTCAGGGCCCTGTTTCACAAAACTTGTTATCAATGACAAGTTAGAATGACTGTTATAAGCTACTGAAATCATGGCATCTGATTGGCTGAGAGCAGATTTGTTGCAGATTTCTGACATTTGTTATTGATAATAAATTTTGTGAAACAGGGCCAAATTTAATCTCATGAATCATGGATTCAAAACTTGACGACACACAAAGTGGGAGGAAATACAGTAAACAGACTTTAGTGTTTTTTAGAAGTTGGGTGTAAATGGGAAGGGGTGTTTAGGGGTAGAGAAAGTACAACAGTAACAACTTCAGTAGCTCAGAATAAGGATAGGAGGCAGTGATAGGCGCATAAAATATATTGGATAGATTACATGAAGTATGATGTATTTCATGTACGTGGTCTCAATGCTGCTGGGTTACAAAGTTACATGCAAACATTACAGAAATCAAAATTAAAGTAGTGCTTCTGTATATAGTTATGCAACATATACTCTTCCTATGAGGAATAAAAAATAAAAAATAAAAAAAGAAGGAAAAAGAAAACTAACTATACTCCAGAGGTGGTCATAAACTGTTTAAAAGACATTTCTGATTGTTAAAAATATTATGTACTTTGGAAACTATATAATGTGCCAACAGGGTTTATTTGTAACTGTTAGTTTGTATAAATAACATACTTGTAAGAAAACTGTTACTAGACTGTGCGGTTGGGAGTTTGCACGTCCTCCAGAAACCACGTAATTCTTCTTGTGGGGAAGGTTCACCTCCGAACACACCCCTCATGTGACACACGCCCTCACAACGTGCACATCATGATACGACCACAAAGCAATGTCATATGCCATGACGTCAGCTTTAAGTGCTAATGATTCACCTTCAAGAATGTGTACATTAGCTGCATCCCTTAAATTTGAAATGTTATCTCTAATTCACAGGATGTAACTTCAGATAATGGTTCTTTCAACGCAATCTGGCCAGCCATTCACTTCAGTTTTACCTGATTTTAAATGCACTTGAATGGTATTGTTTCCTAGCCAAATGCAGAAATATGGAGGATTTAAATTAAGAGATGCTTGAATTTCTGTCTATCTATCAAGGTACGATCTCCCAGTTAGGAGGTTGAATGATAGCAACATTTGTCCACACATCTCTGTCTTCTGCCATCCTACTACACTCTTGCAGTGTCATTCCTCTTCATGACTTATGTTCCCCTCCCTGTTAGTGCTTGGTTTCCTTCTGGGTCTGGTACCTTCTACTTTTCCTTCCAATAAATTATAATGTCTTTTTATTTGGCTAAAGTTTGCCTTTCTTCCTTTAACCTTTCCCATCAGGATATTTTGTTTAAGCCCTGCCATAAGCAGTATTTCTGTCAGTTTGAATTTCTGTGCTTTGACTATATTGCTAATATTGATTAATCATTTGAAAGAGAGTCAAACATGTTTCACCATTTACTTGACTACATAGACCACCTGTCTGTAAGGACAACCTTGAAATAATGCTTCTCATTGAAGGTGTGAAAAGGAAACCTGTGTATGAAAACCATCTGCTAAAGAAAGTCTGCTTTTGAGGTCGCCCTTTGCCAATCTTCCTGAACAGGTTCCAATAATCACATTATAAGTATTTCTCTTAATCCTTCTTTAAAACCAAATCAATCAAATCGTCATGTTCTTTATCCCTTAAGTACCAGAACATTCCCAAGTTTGACTCATCCAAAACAATGTATACAAGCACATATGATTTGTCATGTCTTAAGTTTTGAAATTTCCTATTATCAATGTTGTAGTCATGTCTCTGTGGATGCCAATGCAGTATTATTAATGTTTCGTTCCTATTTCTTTGCTATCCTTTGCTATCGTGTTTGTTCTGGTTAAACGGATTCCCCAGGAAACGATACAAACTGGCATAGAAAATTAAGCATCAACATAAAACCTAAAGAAACATGGTCTATCCTGGGAGTGAGGCAAGAAACACTGACAAGGAATCTAACAAATGTCTTTGACTTGAAGCCATCTGCTTCTAATAATGACTCACTCTACCAAATCAGAAATCTTGTATGGGATGCCAAGTTATATGACTTGGAAGTATCCTGCAATAGTCCTTCCAAAGCAACCTTTGAGAGGCTTCAAACAGGGTTCCAAGTCATTTTTCATGTTTTGACTTTGACATGATTTTAAGAAACATATGAAGTCTACGTTATTGACAGCTGTTTTCACCTATACAAATACCTGTGTGCCAAACTGAATGTGGCATTGTGAAGTAGGTGTGGTGCTGGCCTTGACTAAGCAAAGATTATATAGTTTTGGGAGGGTAAATAACCTTCTCTTTTTTTCAAGCTGGCAAAGGAAAGAAAGGAAGATTTGAGATTCACTGTATTTCAACCACTTAAAATCTATGATGACCGGGATGAAAATATTGAAATGATAACAAACACTGGCATGAGCAATACCCATCATTTTACTCTTGGTACATTTGAACTTTTAAGTTGTCCAGGAGAATGTTTCACAAAGACTAAGATCGACTTTAAGTTGGACTTAACTATGGCAGGCCATTCAAGCCACTGGTTGCTCTCACCATCGGTCTCTTAATTATGATCTTTAGAAGTGTAAATTCTGTAGATTTGCGACCATGAGTGGTACGTTCCTTGAGAAACGAATGCCAGTATTAAAGTGATGAGAGGTAATAGTGGCGTGACAGCCTGCCATAGTTCAGTCCAACTTAAAGTCGATCTTAGTATTTGAGAAACACTCCCCAGAACCATGTGCTCCCAAAGACCTAGACAGGTTCAATGCCAAAGGCCAGATCTTGCGTCCTGTTCTGGAAGGGGATTACGTAGTGACTCAAGCAGAAGAAGAAGGTATCTATGGGATAGTAGGCTACTTACTCCTGCATCTGATGCTAGCGACCAGTTCTGACTACTCTTCCTTATCTCTGGAATGGTCAGGGGTTTCTCCCATGGCTTCTGTTGAGGTGCTTCCACCACTGCTAGCTGGCTCATCGAGTCCATTCCATTGCTCTCCGATGCAAACGAAGGCAACCCTGCAGACTGCATAAGGGTGAAAGAAGTGAAAGAGAAACGATTGAAAAAGATTGTATGATGAGATTAATAGTTTTTCTTGATCCAGACATTTCTGACTTCTTGGTTATTTGTTCATATTTATATTTTTATAAGTATCCAAACAATAAAGAATCTATAAAGGCATCTTCTTAGGATGGCCAACAAAAGTACTATCAACAATATTTACTAGCAAATACATGTACAGTAGCACAGAAGTAGTAATATTAGACGATTCAGGTTCAGAAAATGGGAAATTCACTCTTTCTAGGTCTTTTTCTGTCTCATTATTTTTATTCTCTCTTCTCTTAGATGTACTCCTTATATTCTGTCCTTATCCCCCTACTCTCTCACACACTTGTCCTTCTCTCCGATTCTCTCCCTCCCTCCGCTGTCACCCTTTCTCTCTCTTGCTCTCTCTCTTTCTCTCTCTCTCTATCTCTCCCTCCTTCCAGCACTCACTCACTTTCTCTCTCTCTCTCCCACCCTCTCCCTTTCTCTTTCTCTCTCTCTCTCTCCCCTCTCTCTCTCTCTCTCTCCCTCCCTCTCTCTCTCTAGATCATGACTCACCCTCTTCCACACACACACCCAGAATCCAAGATAAACACGGTAAAGCACATGATCTACCTTCTTCGATCTCCGTCAGTCACAAGACAGACACACACATCAGACTTTAATACTGGATAGAAGGACTTAAGATCTACCATCCCAAGATCCTTGAAGATTTCGGTTCTCCCAGGGCAGTGTGCTCCCAGGCCAGCAGGGCCTTATGAACTTGACTTGTACCCTCCCTCATGTTGGTACTGCACTTTTGCACTCTTTCTAGACACTGTACATCAAGTCATATCCCACTAGACTGACTTAAAGCCTGTCTGTACTAGTTTGGCCAGGAGGGATTAGACCACCCAGTAAGGTCACTGACAGGTGGCTATCTCATCAATTCAGATCTCAATTACCATAAGAAAAAGAGGATCATGGGGGACCAACGTTCACCGCTTTGGCATTGTTTTCTATATAGAGGGAGCAAGTAGCTTCAAGTAGTACAGTGGGGCTTTAAACAAAACTTCAGAAAGACCAATAATTGATACAATGTAGGCCATTCCGAATGATGTCATCTTCTTATTGTATGTAGTTACTTTTCCCTTTGAAAACTTCATCAGGTGTATCAATGCAATGATATAACGACTACATGAATACTAAGCTTCAACAAGAGTCTAAATGGACATCTGGCTCTCTAATATACAGACTATCCCCAAAGTTGATTAGTTAATCTATTACATTAGGACCTCCTTGTCATCAATAACTTTAAGAAAAAATGTAAGTAAATGTTGCATAGTAGTTAAGGGTCCTGCATACATGTATGAGCAGTTTTTTTCTTTTTCTTTACATTCATGCCCCAAATTCAAAGATCTGCCAATTAAAACTATTACTCTGCAAAAAGATAATACTATTCCATCAATTACAAATCCTCTTATTAACAATCTAGGTGAGACTCAAACACATGCCAATTGCTATGTAATAATACACTGTTTTCATGTACTGAACATATTTTTTGTAACCATTGGCATAGCCCCTGGTATTGTGAGTCATGGATATTGGCAAACAATGTAAAAATGTCTCATAGTCATAACTTCACCAGGAAAGTGACACAAACTGAATATGACATGTCACTTTTATGCCAACATATTCCTTGCCACAAATAAATCACACGTTCCAAGATCTTTCGCTATTTAATTCCCAGTTCATTTCTATTTAGGCCAAACCTGTAGTTAGCTTTAGAAACTATTATAAGCCTGGCTTTGTTTACAGAAATAGGAGTTTATATAATTGCATTTTTGTTTAAGATATATAAATAAAGATTGAATCACGCAAGAACCATGTCAGCTGCAGTTATGTAAAATGTCAACTAAAATATGTTTATGAACCAAATGTTATCAAAATGAATGAAGAACTGATTTAAAATCAACACACTTTATCTCAAACACATTAATTCAAAAAATTATGTATATCTTTATGTCTTTTTAATTAAAATTCTTCAGATATACTTTAATACAGACCGAATATGAGATGTGATCACAGATGTACATGAACGCAGATGTCCCAAAACGTCCATGCCCTCTTTTTTCTTATATATGTACCTGTATGTATTCACACCAAATTTTGAAAAATTTACAAGCAATAGTCATGATATGACAGTTTTCAATTATTTGAATTTGTAGTCCATAATCCATATAAAGTTCTTTTCAAAACATTTCTACTCTGGGAGATATCAAACTGAATATTTTAAAAAACAAACTCAATTTTAGGTTATTTTTATCTGGATGCTAATGGTAATTCAGGGAGGGAACGTTGGTTAAAAATAAAAAGCAGACCTACTTCCCTGATGGAAGGTTAAGGTCTAGTTTGAACCAGATGTTTTACATTAAGCGTCTACACCACAGCGTGTGTGTGATTAAGTACAGTGTGGTTGAACGGTCTCACTTATAAAATGTTAGAAAATCCATAGAAAATGTCCCAGTTTGTGGATCATGGTATGAAGGCTGAATGACTAAAAATGCAATTAAACCACACACACACACACACTGCACTTTGAATTAGGATACTCCATTTTTTACACGGATGAAGAGATGATTTACAGCAGCATTTTCATATCATACCATATTTCAATTTTTTTTTTTTTAATGAAAGCGTAGGCTACTCCAATGAAAAATGAGCTATTCATCAATAATTTGCCGTTTCTTATCAAGATTGTCTACAAATAATTATTGTTTTTAAAAATGGAAAAATGAAGAAAAATAAATAGTATTTTTACTAAACTGTAAATACATGTAATTTTACTAAATAAAGTCTAAGTTGTCTGCATTGGATATGGCAGGTTTGGAGAAGATGTATCATATTTGGGGACTCTCCCCATTTATCTGTTATGAATTATCATATTTTGCTACTCAGAATGCAGATCCCATTGTGCATACCTGTCAGACAAATCTCACACAAGCTTTTGATGTTGTCACAAGCAACTGCTATCCACATACAGGTGTACATAGGGGAATTGATTTAGAATCCAGCGGGATATTCATGTACAGTCAGAAAATTTGAACAATTTGATATACAAATCCGGATCATCAAACAATGACAGATGACACAATGTATGCTGGTACATGTAGGCTTTCATAGCATTGAATCCAGAGAGATCTACTGCAAGAAAATTCACACAATTTTGATATACAAATCCGGATCTTCAAACAATGACAGATGACACAGATGTACATGTACCTCTGCTGGTAGGCTTTCATAGCTTAACCTATTGACTACCGGAACCGGGTGGCTCCTACATCAAAGCGTATGGGAATGAGAGAATTCAGGAGTCGATGGATTAATCATGTTTATACTTTTCTTATATGCATGTAACACAAGTTAAAGATAAGCTTGAGCTCTGGTAATGATAGAAAATAAATGCTCATAGAATCAAACAAAATGACATGTGCTAAACGATTTTGGTAAAAGATGTATAGGGGCTGAGTAATGAGCAAAGAAAGATAAGAAAATCAAGGTAAGTAGGTCCGACACCATGTGCTTAACACAGATCACTATTACGCAAATGTGAGTTGGGTTTTTATCCAAAAGATGATTCCCAGCAAGTTTTTGTGAGATTTTTTTTTTTTTTTTTAATGGTTCAAACAATCAATCTACAGCAGGATAAACAATCCAAAATGAATTATAGCCATGTTCTCTTGACATAGGATTCCCATACCAGAGTTCAAGTTTAGCTTTAACCTATAAATTGAATGGTCTAGCTTTGCCCCTATCAAAAACAAGAATTTCTCATTTTAGCTCATCTGATCAAATGGACAGGTTGGTCTGAAGCGTTTGACCACACATGTGTTTAGATGAGTGAATCATTTGAGCTGTGGTTTATCTGACAGTGTCATAGTATCTTGTAGCATTTAAATTTAAACGTCAGAGAACGTACTTAGAAAGACATGTACATATTAAGCCTGAGTCATTACGGTTTTTGTGCTAAACGGTTAACCGTTAAAAGTATACGGGCGGTTTCGTTTAACCGTTTTATAATAATCTGAAAAAGTGAAAATACAGTATTTGTAATAGTGCTGTAGCTCGGAACCCTGCTGGTCTTCAGACTGTAGGGCTGAGCATTCCCAGCCCCGGACTATGGCACAAATTGGGTCATCCTGATAAACAGAGACCAGTAATAAACAACATAAAACATGTCTTATTATTCCTCATCTGAATTTGATATCATGATTAAAGATAAACTTTAGTACTGGTAATGCGATTGCATTGTGAAAGAAAAGGTGTGGAAAGGATCAGAAACAGTTGATCATGTAGCATGTAAGTATTGGTGTGCACTGCAAGGTTCTGGAGTCATCAAAATCATAATAAATTTGACCGAGTCTTGGTAAAGTAACAAGCACATACACAGAAAGCTATGTATGGGACAACACGCATGGTGTCGGGGTTGGTACTACCTTGATTCCTTGTCTTTCTATGCTCATTACTCAGTCAGTATACATTTTCTTCCAAAATTGTTTCGGACATGTCATTTATTTGTAATCTTCAACATTCAGTGTAAGTTTCGTTTGATTCTGTGAGAAATAATTTTTTTTTTTTTACCAGTACTCAACCTTCTCTTTAACCTTGCAAAGTTACTCTGTGAAGATAGCTGATCTGTGACGTGTTTATATATGCCTTTGCAATGCAATGTTTGCGCATGGTCAGGGAGAGAGCTCCCTGCATGTATCATTGCCATATGAAATTATGTGGAAGTGTGTATCACACACACCCAAGACACACCCTGCAATGAGCTGATCCAAGTTAGTGACCAATCAGGAAGGTTCTCTAGCTATGTGGGTGGAGTTTGATACCAGCATAAATTACAGGTTGGTGACCGCGCGTGCTTTCACCGTACCCAGTTCAGTGGGAGGTCAAGAAGCCACGCCCACATGTGTGCATGTGACAAGCATGAGCTCTCC